GATCTTAGCCAGCCCCTCGGAGCACAGAGCTCCCATCCCTTGTGCCCTGCGGGGCTGTGCTCAACCTCCAGCTGGATTCACTGGCCCCAGGCATCGCACTTCGCTGCCAGCTCTGCAGGTCCACCTGTCAGCACATTTCCTTCTCAGCTTCCTTTCAGCTGTTCCTCTCAGAGGAGGCTCCAGTGGCGTTAGGTGTGCCTCAAATTCAGGTTTCAAAGCTACCATCCGAGGAGGGAGAAAGTCCTGGCTCCCTCGGGGCCGGGAGCACAGCTGCTCCTTCAGCCAGAAGCTGCAGCACGTGAAGAGAAAAGGAGGGGATGCCAAGGGAAGGGCTTCTCAAGCACATGTGAAATCTTCATCCTCCTGCTGTGGGTTCAGGTCTTGCCTTCAGTAACCGTGTGCTGGAGCTGACAGTGTGCTCACGGGGCTTTCATCTCAGCCGCTGCCGAGCGAGCCATACCTGGGTAGGCCACAGCGCTCATCTGCAAACTGCTCAGCAATACCCTTCAAGTGTTCCTGCGCAGCAGCTGTGGGAATCGATGTTCCTCTGAGTGTTTCACCAGGGAAAACCGCTCCTGTTGGCCTCGCTGGGCCAGGAGCTGCTGTTCCTGGGCAGAGCTCGAAGGAGGCCAAGCTCCCTCCTGCTGCTGTCGCACTGCTCAAAGGGACGTTGAGCCAGGGCTGTGGGGCAGGGCTGGGGCTTGGTGCCTTGGGGCAGTATCACCTGTGGGACATCCCAGAGGGAGGCTCAGCAGCACCAGCGAGTCCAGGACCCCAGGGAGACAGGCAGGAAAGGGCTGTGAGAGGAGGAATCAGGAGCTCGGGGCTGGGTAGGTGGGAGAGGTGGTGTCCCCAGGACTCTCCTGGATAAGCCTTGGCTTATTTTCCCTATGCAGGAGCGAGATGAAGCGCTGGATGATTTCGCTGGCCCCAAACCGAAGAACCAAGTTTGTTTCCTTTACATCCAGGCTTGTTGGTAAGAGACACAGCACAGCAGCCAGGAGCTCTTCACCCCTACCCCAGGGCCCTTTTGTCTGCCCTGATCTCCCCATCCTGCCCCTTAGGGCCCTGTGGGAACCTCTCCCTTGGCTCCCCTTGCATTTCCACCCCTGATACCCACTTATCAAGGCCTGTCCCTGACTTTGTTCCCCTCCAGCCTGGGCTGGGCAGCAGCAGCACTCCTCAGCCCACCTGCACTCCTCAGGCCCTGCAGGGCAGGCTTTCACCCCAGGCCCTTCCTCACAGAAACACGCCCCAGCGCATGCCCTCCGCAGGGTTTCTCACTAGATCGGGGGGGCATTCGCAGAGGTGGCGGTGTTACCCCCCCTGAGCTGCTGTCCTGCAGCTCTCTGTATCCTGGCCTGCCCCTCACTCTCGCCCTGTGCCCTGGCAGACTGCCCGCAGATCCAGTGCGTGCACCCCTACGTAGCCCAGCAGCCGGACGAGCTGTCCTTAGAGCTGGCCGACGTCCTCAACATCCTGGACAAGACGGATGACGGTAGGGGGGGGTACGGGGAAGGGAGGGGTCTGCAAAGGTGGGGGCTTTACCCTCGGCTGAGCAGACAGGACAGGGGACGTGGGTGGGAAGAGGCAGTGCCAGCCTCGCAGCCAAGGGAGTGCGCAGCAGAAGGAGGGCGTTACCGCTGCCTCCTAATGCTCAGCAAACCTCAGCTGCCCTGGGCCGTGGCAGGGCTGGCACCGCCACCCGAAGCGTGACGCGGAGCCGTGCCTACCTTGACTAGATTTACAGCCTGGACAGCCTCCAGCACAGCCAGCCCCGAGGAGCTGATGGCAGCTTCCAGGCAGCACTGCCAGCTCCAGGGCCCTTCCCAGAACGGCCGCCCCAGCGCAGGAGCAGCGGCTGGGCCTTCCTGATGTGTGCCTGTCTCTGTCTCTGCTCAGGCTGGATCTTTGGGGAGCGTCTGCATGATCAGGAGAGGGGCTGGTTCCCCAGTTCTATGGGGGAGGAGATCCTGAACCCCAAAATCCGAGCCCAGAACTTGAAGGAGTGTTTCCGGGTGCACAAGTCGGATGACAGTCAGCGGAGGAAACTGGGCAGCAGAAACCGCCAATGACCGCCGGCACCCCCGAGTGGCTGGAGCGCGGCTGGGAGGGGGCAGAGGACAGAGGCTGCCAGCTGGGAAGGGGCAGTGGTGCAGGACAAGGCGCGCCAGACCCAGCACAACCCCCCCCCACCCCGGATAAACTGGGCTGCCTGCTGTGCTTTCTGCAGCGCCGATCCTTCCCTGGAGCCCAGTGCTTCCAAGTGGCCACAGAACACCTTTCCAAAGAGCACGAGCCCAAACTGACACACCGTGAGGTGCCAGCCCACTGAGCAGCGAGGGAACCAGGGGCTGAGGGGGGTTCTGCCTTGACCCCCAATTCCCTGCACATGTTCCAGCTGGAACTGGCTCAGGCTGCTCGGGAAGGGCACGTGGAGCAAAGGGAAGGCAGCAATTAGCACCGCCCGTTTGAGTGCTTCCAGCTCATCACTACCTTCTGAGTTAGGGGCTTTCCTAAAGCTGCCTCTTCCAGGCGTGGAAGCTGAAGCAGAGGAGCTGTCTCATCCTCTCACACAGCCCATTAGCACCAGGGCTGGGAAGAGCCCTAAGGAATCCCATTTCCCGAGCCCCAGTGGCTTCACAGCAGCACTTTCCCTCGGCAGACCCTCGATCCACCTCCAGACGCTGTGAACGCAGCCCTGCTCCACCAGCAGCCTGACCTCAAACGCCCCGACCAAATCCCTGCCACCTGAAGTCCTCAGAGCACACCTGGGTCCTGCCCCACAGCTCACCTCTCTTCTACAGCTGGCAGCCCCTCCGCAGCACTACCACAGAAGCCGGCAGCACCAGGACCTTCCCCAGCTGAGCTGCTGCTCACAGGAGCCCAGTGCTTGCACAACCTGCGCTGCCCTGCGGAGCCCCGCCACTGCTGCAGGGCTCCAGGAGCACCAGCAGAGCCGGGCACCGTGCAGCGGGTGGGTGACGGTCCCCCAGGAGCTGTTGTGCGCTGTAGGAGGCCCAGCAATCACGCCTGCATGTTTGTACCCCACTCCTCCCAGCTGCCCCCCTGTACAGGCTCACCCCATGTATATATGTGAACCCCAGCGCCTGCAGAGCCAGGTCACCACTCCTCCCAGCTGTGACACTGAGCATCGCATGGAGCCCAGGGCACAGCACCGAGAGGGGCCAGGGGACAACCCCAGCACGAAGCAGCCCCGCAGCAGCCGCCTGCTGCTCAAACAGCCTGGCTGCAAACAGGCCCACGCGTGGCCACCAGCTGGGCCCGAGCTGCAGCTGGCATCTGTCAGGGAGTCACGGTCATTGAGCAACTTTCTGTAACTCTGCGAGGAGTCTTCCAGGCCCTGCCTGCAGCACGCTCTGCCGGGTCATGGCTGTGCTCAAAAATGGGGTGGAGAGCAGCTGCTTGCTCGCAGAGCCACACAGCAGCCCCACACAGGGCAGCAGTGTGGCTGCGCTGGTGGCAGCAGGGGAGGACAGAGGAGAGCTGCTGAAAGGGGCTCTGCAGAGCTGCCCTGGGGCTGTGGGTGGAGGGACCGAGTCACGCAGGGGTGCACAGCACCAGGCCAGCTACAGCCAGACCCCAGGAACAAACCCATGGGAGCCAGAGCAGCAGAGGGAGCACAGAAGGGGTTCCTTCCTCCCTCAGGCCCAGCTCGGTGCCACCACCTCAGCAGGAGCACCCGACAGCAGCCAGCACAGCACCATGCCCACCTGACAGCATAACGAACAGGCTGGAGGCTCCCGGCCCCCACCGGAGCCCAGCCCCACGGCAGGGGCCTGCAGCCTCCAGCTTGGTGCAGGGCCTCACCCCACAAACAGGGACCCCCCCAAGTCGCTTCCCCCTGCCCCCAGGGCAGCTTTCTGAGCACAGCCAGAGCTCCACCTCAGGGCCTGGACCCCACAGCAGTTGCAAATCTTCCACAGTGCGAAACCCAGGGGAGCTCTGGCTCCAGGCAGCCCGAGTTCCCCAGGAAATGAGCACACCCCAGAGCCTGCACCTTTGCAGAGCTGCAGCCAGCCCAGCCCTGAAGTCCCACACACCTACCTGGGACGCTTCTTAGTACAGCAAGGCTCCTGCACCCCTCAGCAGCAGCTGTTTAGTAGCGGAAGGGCTGACCCAGGTTCCCCAGCGCCAGGACAGCACTGCCCCGCTGCATTCCTTGCAGGGGAAGAGGGGCACAGGGCTGCAGGATGCTGTCCCACCCCCCGCCGCCAAACCCTGGGACTCACTCTTGCTCTGTTGTGACCTTTTATGACTTCAAACCCTAGGCACAGGCTGTGCCGTTTTCAGGCACCAAGTGGCATCCAGTGTTATTTCTTCAGACCCAGCCCTGCACGCCTGTCTCAGTGGTCTCAGTGTTGTACAGGGCCAGGCCTGGGCCCCACAAGCACGGGCTGGAGCCCCCTGGACCCTGCCAGGCTGCCTCAGTGAACTGAGGGGAACTTCTCGTCGTCTCGTTTGCCGTGTGATGAAATATAGCTGAGCGAGCCAGCGCCAGTGCCACTCCTGCCTCTTCTTCCTCCCCCAGACCAACCGCGTGCCCCCCCCAGCGCGAGTGCTGGGGTAGGGGGAGCTGGGCCAAAGACAGGGGGTGGAGGTGGGGAGGGGTGGGAAAGTGGTGTGGGGTGACACCAGGGAGAATTGGGGTGGCACGCAGCACCTCACCACCCTCTCCCAAGGAAAGCTGTGCCAGATGATGCCCAGCACCGTTACCACCCCACCAGGACAGACCTGGAAAGCTGCTGCCAGCCCAACGCCCCTTGCTGCCACGGGCTGGGGGGGTGACACTGCTGCAGTCAGGCCTGCCAGGTGTCAGCGTGCCCACAAGTCACACGCTAAGAGCCAAGGGAGAGGTGGGGTGTAACGCTGCCACCCGGAGCAGAGGCTGGAACACCCTGCATCTGCAGCAATGTTTCTGCCCCAGGGGCCCCCGGCGGCTGGGGAGCAGCAGCAGTGGAGGGCAGGATACAGGCTGGTTGTGTTACAGAAACATCTTTTATTGAGTTCAGGAGGCAGAGAACTTTCTCAGCGTGATGACAACCAAGGCCACAAGCACAGATGTTCCCAGGAGGGAGGCGATGACAATGGCACCAATAGCTCCAGGCCCCAGCGAGCCTGCAGGGACAGAAAACAAGGCGGCGTGAGGCTGGCAAGTCACAGAGGGGAAGGGCAGTCGGGCTCAAACCCCTCAGGGAGGCAGACAGCAACCCCGCTCCCAAACCCCTGTGGGAGTGACCCGCATGCAGCCCGGGGGCCCCGTGGTGCTGCCCCCCCCTTACCATCCCCAGTGTCCAGGCGGTGCAGGTGGGTGGTGTCCTCGGGCTCCAGCTCGGAGGTGTAGGGGGGGAAGGCGGTGGCGTCTGAGAGCCGGGCGGTGGTGGTGGTGGCATCGAAGGGGCCGGCTCCGGAGGGCAGCTCAGGCGGCTCATTCCACAGCGTGGGGACCGGGCCCTGCGGGTACTCTGCTGGGAGACAAGCACCGACCATCACTCCTGTGCACGAGTGGGCCCAGCGGGAGCCTGGGACGGCCACAGCTCAGCCGGGCCCTGGGCTCCAGGTTCCCAGGGACAGATGGAGCAACCCCGAGGGCTGTGAAACCCATGGGGCAGAGCCCCAGGCTCTGGGAGCACACCCCCAGAAGACAATGCCTGGGCTCCAAGTTGAAACCAGGTGTCCACACAGCACAAATGGGACAAGGGAGACTATCACACCCCTGCAACAGACAGAGACCAGCCAGGCACCCATGCACAGCCTGCACTGTCCAAAACCAGTGCTGCGGGGCCCTTCTGCCCTACACTGCCACCTACGCAGTGCAGGATGCCAGAGGCACTGCCCGAGCAGGGGAGCTGCATCTTGCGGGCCCCAGAGCCTCAACTTCCCTCTGCCCCCACCTCCATGCTGTGCCGGGGAGATGAAAGCAGAGCCGTGCTCTGATGTTACCATTCACGTCCTGTTATTTCTTCCCCCTGTGGGGTCGGGAACCAAAGCAGAGAGCCCTCCCTGTTTGTGTGTGGCTGAGCTGAGCATTCCCTGTCAATGCCTGCCTTGTTCAGGTGGGCCCCGGCGGGAGCGGGAGACATTCCACAGCTCCCCGCTGAAACCACTGGGAATGTCACACTAGGATGGAGAAAAAGGGGAAAAAAACAGCAGCCAGTTCCAGGGCCCACCTGAACCGAAACGGTGGTTTTCTGGGCCAGGAAAGAGGGCAGGAGAGGAACCAGAGCAAACAGCCCGAGCTCCCTGGGGCAAGGCACAGAGGTGCGCACCCATCCTGCACGGTGGGTGCTGGAGGGGCTGGGTCACCCGGGTGCCTCGCTGCCATGGGTACACGTGGGCTCAGCCCTGCCCAGCCTCCCCAGCACCCTCCTGGCCTCTCCCTGGCCCAGCGAGGGAGGTGGCGGCGGCAGCACCAGCCCCAGCTTTAAGTACCCAGAGCCCTCCCTGACAGTGCTCTGGGGGAGGAATGGCCACTGAAGGACCACGCTTGGTTCTCCTGTAGGAACCCTGCACTCAAAGAACAGGAGGGCCAGCACCAAAACGCTGCCTGTGCAAACCCCCAGACAGGACTTGCCACGGGGCTCACATCAAAGAGTGGCTCCCACCTTCCTTGGAAGCTTTTGCTGCTGCTTAACAGGCTTAGGAACACAGCTCTAGACCAGATTTGCAAAGCCCTTCCTACAACCGTAAAAGCGACAGGATTTTCATGGGGAGCTGCCAGCTTAACTCTGGCCCAAGGAGGAACAAGACAGGGAAATCAGCTCCCAGCCTGAGGTCTGTGCCAGCGCTCATTCGGGCAGCGATCCAGCACACTCGGGCTGGCTGACCCACCTGGGGGAGGAGCTGGACATGGCATTTGCTGCTGCTCCCATCCTGGGTCCCCAGCAGGAGTGCACAGGAGTTGTGCTCCACAACTGCTCCCCAGAAACACCCGAGCCCTTGGCAAGGCCCTTCTCAATCTGCCCTGCACAGCCAGCAGCAGAGCTGGAGACACATCCCATCCAGGGGCTCTTCCAGAGCACTATTTCCAGTGGACCTCTTTTCTCAAAATCCTGTTGTTTTGCTACCAGAGAACAGATCAAGAGAAAACAGAATTTAGTGGATAGACATAGTTAAATCAACATGGAAAGGACCCAAGCAGAGTTAGGGCTATTTAGTTAGCAATGGTGGCATTAGGAAGCTGTTGGTTTAGGCACAAACCAAACACGTTTAACAGTTTGAAGCCCCGCTTCCAGGCTGCTTTGGGAAGTGGAAAAACTGCTCAGAGAAGAGCTCCCCTCCAGCTGTGACCTCCCTTACTGCACCAACAGCGGAGCCATTCCCACCTGGCAAGGGGGAGCCGTGCTGGGGGGAGGTCACTGTTGCATTTCCCAAGAACATTTTTCTCTCCAAAAGCCAAAACAGCTGGGCACAGCCCTTGCATCGGGCTGTGGTCAAAGTCACAGATTGCTCAAGCAATCTCTAACAGATGCAGACACCATGCAGGGAGCCTGTAGGACCCGGACAGGCCCTTTCCAATACCCTGTTCTCAAAGGGACAAGGAGGCAGTGCCACCCCTTCCAACAGCAGAGCAAGGGCTCATTTTCTAGCCAGACCCATGGGTCCCAGAACATCTCTCCAGTCCCAGCAATCCAATTCCTGAAAAACGCATTGCAGCTCTCAAAGTAGGGCACAACTTATTTTTGATAGCCGAGTAAAGAGGCAACAGTCTAATTTATTTATGATCTCGGTGACTTAAGACCTGGCTAGAGTCTTGAATGGCTTCTGGACAGATATTTTGTTAATTCCTCTCATTTGATTAAAGCGTACATTCAGTTCACCCTCACAAAAAGGGCAGAGCGCGCTAAAGGCGAGCTTTCTGTTCCAAGTTCTTGTGGTTTTCCCTTAACGGCACTTCAGCGGCTGCAGAAAACACAACTCCCCTCAGCCAGGCCTGGTGCTTCACTACCAGGAGCTGTCAGCCCCGCAGCAGAACCACGCACATGCAGTGAACCCGCATCTGACCACTGAGCGCCATGGGCTCCGCCAGGCCCCACTGCTGGCCCTCCTCACCCACCGCTGCTGGAACTGCTGCCGACAGCCCTGCAGCGCTCTCCCTCCTGAACTAACAGATCCCCTCTCTCACGCCTCCCTTCTCACCATGCTGTGAGAAGCACAACCCCCCAACCTGACTACCCCCATGTCCCGCTGGTTTCCCCAGGCGCTCGGGCACTCAATGCCCGCTCCCCTCAGCAGCACCACACAGCCCGAGCCCAGCTCGGCCGCGCCGCTGCTGGCTACGAGCAGCAGACTCACAAGGAGATGCAGTCAGACCTAAATATGATCCACAAGAAAAGCAGCAGGGGCAGGCCCAGGCCTTCCCACACACACGGTTACCACCTTGACAGCAACCTGCCGGTTACATTGCTGCATCCGTACTGCGACAATGGCGCTGTGCCCCTGAACCAATGCCTCCCAGTGAGGGATCGGAGCCGGCTGCAGCTCTCCATGGGCAATGGGGAGGCTGGACGGGGCCTCCAGGGGCCTGGTGCAGGCACAGCACTGTTAACGTGCACAAAAACCCAAACACGTTGCAGTCTTACGTGAGGGTGTGCAATTGAGGACTGAAAGCCAAGTATCAAGGGCAAGTTAGCATATGGTTTTCCTGTTCACCCAAGAACTTTGTAGAAATTAAGAACCACCAAGAAACATGCTAAAAACACCTCATCAGCCCCACCACTGCCCTGCCTCAGCTCCCCGTGCCCTGAAGGGAGAGGAACCATGACCCCGGAGCACACACAAGCCCTCTCCCAGCACCCAGCCTGTCTCAGCACTGGGGCACAGACAGAGGAACTGCTGCCCCTCAGGCTGCTCAGTCAAGTGCACTTTACAAAAAAACAGCTTGGGAGCACTTCTGGGAGAGGTGATAGAACCAGATGAGAGGAATTATCTTAATTACTGGGGTTTTTAAACAGTGTGGAGATGGAACCCAGAGAAAAATGGACTAAAAGTAATCCATTGTTCTGCAGCAGGCCAAGTAGAGGAAGACACAGATGACACCTCTTCCTCCTCATATGTTGAGACAAGTCATCTTACTTCTGGGAAATAAATAGCCTTCAGGGAACTGTACCACTTATCCTCCCTCTCAGCAGCACAGGGTAGTTATGACTGAGGCCAAAAAACCCCAGAAAAAGTATCAAGGGTTAGTACAACAAAAAAATACAAGTTTCTGAATGATGCAGGAACCCACCAAGACTTCAGCTACATGGACCATAGTGGGGTCTAAAAGGGTGGACGCCAAGGGCAACTGGAAGCAACTCCTCCCTCCATGCTCAGTGAGGAGGCTGGGTGGGCTGCCTGCACTGTGACGGGGTCTCCTGCACCCCAGATCCTGGGCAAATGAAAGGTAAGACTAGACAAATCTCCACAAGTGATAGCTCTTGAAGCTGGACAGATCTGAAGAATCCTTCAAGACACCCCAAACAAAGAGAACCTTCCCCCAAGCACAATGCAAGACCTCAAGGCAGGCAGGTGTGACCATCTAACATCTCCATCTCTGGAGAGCAGTCACCAGCGACCACCACTCGTCTTTGAACAACCTGGTTTCAGGATCTCATTGTCCTCAGAGCCTGTCAATAGGAGATGACAATGAGATGTTCCTCCTCCATGGGATGATGCTTGGAAAGGCAAGAGCACCTGTTGTAACCTGAACATGGCACACCATTTCTTCTGTCGCCACCATGTACAGGTTAACTCAATGCCAAATCCACAGCTCACATCCTTTTCATAACTTGGGAGCTCTTCTTGCCTTTTTTTTTTTTTTTTTTGATAAAGATTTTAGTGTCTTTTTACATCCATTACAAGGGGTGGCAGTGGTGCTGGGGTGTGCGCTAAGGTTACCTGCTGCTTTCTGGAGCACACTCTCCACCTCCAATCCAGTAACCTTAACCAGGAGCTGATAATAAGTATCATTTACAGAGCATTGGTGCTGAACAAGTTTGAGTAATGCTCTACAAAAACTTGTTTTAAATCTGGACCTGCTGGAACAATCATGTCTTTAAGAAATATGTATGAGAAATTATTTAATTCCCATATTCTAGTACTTGAACTTCAAAAACTTCCCAATAACCCTTTATTGTATTATTGCTGAGAACACAGACAAGTTGCTACGGACAAGGCCTTGTCCCGTACTTCCTCCTTTAGCATAATGAAGACCATCTCCTGCTCTGCTTCCTTCCCATCCTCCATATCCACACTGACGTGCTCCTGCAGTACAACATATTTCCACATGAGCTCAAAACAAAAATCCAGGAGCCCACATCAGAGTTCGATTACAAAAAACACGACTCAGAAACCAAGGCCTCAGCAAAGTCTTCTTACCAACTTCAATTGGAGTTCCGAACCCATTATGGGGATTGAAACTGGTTTTACTAAAAAGCAAAAAGATTTCCTTCACCATCTTACGATGCTCTTGGCCAAAGTGCCACTTGTGTTTGAAGAAAGAAGTGGAAAGAAGTTGGTGGTGCAGAGAGCCCTTACATTTGACCCTTTTCCTGTTGCACCTACATGATGTGGACAAAGGAGGACTCAGGTGTTGTCCTATCTTTGACAGATGCAATACTGGAAAGAGCTTAGTAGCTCAGAAGTTCACATTTTCTCAAGTCAGAGCCCTGAATGCTCTGCTCAGGAAGCCAGCCTGGCTGGGCAAGAAACCAGATCAAGGTCCACAACCCAGCAGCACCCTGGAAGCGCTCTGCTACACCCCGATGGGAAGCCTCAGCTGCCAGCAGATCCTCCACCTCTTGCCGAACTCCCAGGTGCTTACCCCAGGCTTTGGCACGAGATAGCTCTTGAGTCACTGCTGTGACAGAACCATGTCCAACGAGGAAGCGAAGACTCGTTCTGGACCTCAGGGTGGCATTGCCAGCATCCCCTACAGCCCTGCCTGAGGCACAATCCACTTTGCTCTCCACAGAGGCCTTTGCTACGGAAAGTACAAGGTGGTGACATGGGAGGGCAGGGGCTGTGTGAACTCAGAGGCCAGCAACGGGCTGTCCAGCCCCAGGTAGCCACAGCAGGCACAGGGCCAGTGCAGGGATGAAAAGAGGCCTTCATGGGGAGCACAAAGGGCAGCCTGTGATGTGCGAGTGCTGGAAGCTCGAGTGTAGAGCAGCGTAGAGCAGTGTGGTTCTGATGAATGTTAAATAAACTTGTTTACAGAAAGGCTGGGCTGCATGTATATGCACAGAGACCAGAGGGCTGCCTGCATGCCCTTCCCTTCTTTGTCTCCACAAGGCAGGAAATTTCCTTTTCTAACGGGGTGAAATGCAGAAAAAATTCCACTGGGCGCTAAAAGCCCCCGCACTGGGGATGGTTAACTCTCCACTCCTAATAGAGCAGAAAGTTGTTCTGCTCCTCGGATGCCTCACAACCCAGGCTGGTTCCCTCATGTCCTACTTTGCTACACCAAAGAAGAACAAACTTAAGAGGGCCTCAAACTTGGAAAACGCAACTGTGAGAACGCACCTGCACCCCAGGCTCTGACTACTGCGTTCATCAATGCAAAGCTCTGAGAGCTACTAGCCTTGCTGGGCAATTGAGGATCACCCAGTATCAACCAGAGTATTTCAAGGGATCAAAGTGACATACAGAGGCAGTGACAGCTGGTTATAAACCGCAGCTGCAAAGCTGAGTGATGAGCAAGTACACAGGAAAGCTGGCAAGGCAGGGGACAGAGTGGGCATGCACCAGACCCTGGAAACTTAAGGTAATATGAAAGATTCTAGCTCAGAGAGAAGGCAGGTCAAAGTTTCATTGACAGTGAATTGATTTCTGAAGAGTGAAAAACTCTAACAGTTAAAAAAAAAAAAAAAAACTTACCTGGTTTTGGGGAGGAGCACTGCTACTGATTCTGAGAGCATAAGCAAGGTATAAACTGGAACGCCGTGCTTAAATTATTAATGTTCCATTACAGAAATATCAAAGGCCAGCATTTGAGAAGGAAAAGGTGCACTTTTTATGGCCCATCTCACAGTTACTTTAAAAGTTCTCCCAGCAAGAACACATCTTGAAGTAGTGGGACGTGCAAGGGCAATACCAGCTACAGTAACCGTCCTCATACCTGCAGATGCAGCCATCAATTCCCGTCTGTATGAAAACTCCTTCAAAAAGCCTGCTAGACTGCTGGCCAGGAACTCCCTGCTAAGCAAGGTGCAAAGAACAAACCAAGGGAGCTGCAGTCTAGCACTGCACTTCTTGGAAATCAGAACAAGAATTAGGGAAAACAAGCGCTGTGCTCTTGCCTGTTACCTTGTCCTGAGCCATCTGTTCAGCATCTCACCTGCATTTAAGGAAAGAGGCTTTGGGGAAAGGCAGTTTCCCCCAGAACAAGTAGGGGGGCAGTTATTAACAACCTCCTTGAAAAACTGTGCCCAACAGAGCATGTGTCCCATGCTAACCCTTGTCCCCTCACCACCTTTCTGCTGTTTCAGGCTGCTAGCAAACCATCGCTGAGCATGGGTCAGAGCTATGTGCCCTGCCAGCCTGCAGTGCCTCACTTACACCCAGTCCTAAACAGAAACTCAAACAATTCAGATAGACAGCTCAGCTTTTGACTGAGCTAACTGTTTTCATAGACAGCTTTGTATTTCTATTTACAACACCTGCAGTAACATACTCTGCTGCAGCAGAAAACAGGAACCAGAAACTGGCAAATGGGCTTTAGTAGCTGGAGAATTTTTTTTTTTTTTTTTTAAATCTTTATCCTATAACTAAAAGTAGACAGACAAGCTGTCCCATCAACTGCAAAGCACACCCCATCCACTGTCTACTGATCTATAGTCACCGAGACTCATGCAGGCACTACTGCCGTTCATCTCCAGTTTACAAAGGGTTTTTGCCCTTCTCTCCAACAGCAACGTGGTTTCAGGACAGAGTATATTCTTACTTGATACTACCCTACTGACTCCAAAGCCCATTTCCATTACTCAGTTATAATTCGTTAAATACTTATGGATGTTTTTAGGGGAGGGAGAGGAAGATGGAGCTACAGGAAGAGAGGTAGGTAATACACCTCCTATTCTTTCGGAGTGTAAATGCAAAGATCCTTACCTGCCAGCACCGCAGGGAGCAGGATGCCACACAGCATTAGCAGGACCAGGCGAAGGATTCTGTGGTAGGGCATGGCTTCCCTCAGGAAAAGCGTTGTCAGGAATTCTTAAACTCTTCAAAGCACGAAACAACTTGGAAATTTCACTGGTATAAAAACTTTGTCCAGTAAGGTAAAAAAAAAAATAATAATCCTTCACAAGCGGATAGAGAGAGTGCAAAGCCTAGCAGAGACTCACTCTCACTGACTTCTCGAGCACACCTCCTCCTGAAGGCAGCTCCACCCTCTCAAATTTATGCCTAAAACCCCATAGGCAGCAGAGCCGTTAGGCATCCGTCACCCTGCCAGGCCAGCGCACACACGAGCAGTTGTTGGCGAGCCCTTGCTGGAGGCTCTGTCCCTGCAGCCACCCAGCACCAGGCTCGAGGGCTCTGCTCGCCTCTGCCTGCAGGGTGGCGGTGGTCCTTGCAGGGTGGGCACAGCAGAAGAACAAGGGCCTCAATCTTTTAAGGTTAAAATACCCTGAAACAGAGCCAGAGCAGCTCCGTGGCACCCTTGTTTTCTGGCTGCAGTGCTTCGAGGTGGACCAGGAACTGCGTGTGGTCTGCCCTGGCAGAAGTGCCCCTTGAAGCCTCACAACCATCTTCCAGGGGAACCTCCTTCACCAAACCATACCTGCCCCCTCCTCAGGTCTGAACTGAACACATACTGCCTCTTCCTGCAGCCTCCTGCCACGCTGCTCATCTCCTTCATATGGATTCATGAGAAATTATCAACAGAGAAAACTGAGGTTGGTTTTCAGTCACATTTGCACTGACAGAGACTTGGGAACAGCTGAAGTGAACAGAGGCCCACTCTGGCTTACCAGAGGACAGAATAACTGCATTAGTAGTGGTTTTTTGTTTGCTTTTAAAATTTGTATGAGGATGAAATATTTCATAGCTTCTGTTCAGGAGATGTTGTAATTCAACTACATAAACATCCCCCATGTCAGTTCTTTATGTTCTGAAATTATGATACAAATAGTTTTACCTAATGTTTCAGATCCAGTTTTCTGGTAAATGATCTCTGATTTTGGCATTATCTGACAGGCAGCCAGATCCAGTTCAGCTGTCCTTTTAGATGACTCTACTTGGTGCAGCTCTTTGCAAAAGCACTTCGTTTTCAGTCTCTGCTTTTCCTGCTTCCCCTCACAGCAGTCTCTGCAGTGAAATGAGATGTTTGGAAATAATCTGGTGAAATAACACTCAAAAGAAACCTCAGAGATGTCTAACATCACACTCAACATCTTCCAAAGTTGGACCACAGCCCCATCAGCTATCCAGGTTCGTGTTCTGTCTGAAAGAAGACTGACGTGCATAAAGATATATCAGGTGCAGATACAAAGTTGTAGCTCCTATTTTTCCCATCCCTACCAATGCAAGAGACCTTTACTACTGTAATAGGCCCTCTTGTAGTCACAGAGGTGAAAGGACAGTGGCCTCAGTGTACAGTCTGAACGGAACAACATCTTACCTTCATACAAAAACAGAAGTCAGAATATTAAAATACACAAGAACACGATCTCTTCCCCACAGGTCCATTATCTACAAGCTCTCAGAAGCAGAGCAAGGTCCTCAGGGTTTCACAGATCATTGCACGTTCTCCCTGCTTGCATTTCTGCATTTTCATTTAGCAATCGGTGAATTGTTCCTTTTGAACTCCCCAACTGAGCTGAAAATTAACAGGCTTTTTCTTGTAGTCCAAAATTAGCTTGTAGAAATTAGATCATACCATTAAAAAACAAAGTACTTATGAACCAGAAACCTCATACACCAAAGTAAAAGAAAATTTCAAAACAAAGTCAAATGATCAGCCAAAGCATGTACTGCTCTCTCCAGGACAACAGCTGAACATAATGCAAAACTAATGTAAGTTCTTCACTGACTCGGTATTTCTAGTGGTCATGTGAATGACAGAATAACATTCATCATTAGCCTTTACTGGGATTTTCCACACAAAAACAAGAAACAAGTAGAAAAAAGAGGAAAGTAAGATTTTGTCTAAAAAAGGAAGGGTGCGAGGTGTCCGTGTGGACTTGAATCCAGGGGGGAAAATAAAACCTCCCATTTAGAGAAGGGAATTGGAGTGGGCGGGGTGGTACCACCTGGCAAAAAAAGGGCTCCATGACCAAGTGTTTGTAGTAACAAAAAAACAGACAGGGCTTCATCTCTCCTGCATAAACAACATGAGTGTGAATGCACGTGTTTCTGTATGCAGAGAGGAGGAGGGCAAAAAGTTAAAGCTTCCTTGTCAAAATTTTCCAATCTTGACTTACTGCTGTTTATTTGAACTCTAAAATTATCAAGTAGAAAAAACCCACCGGTATTCCTCACCAGGGAAGAAATAAAGCAGCAGTTGTTGTTCCACATCCTGTATGCTTCCTTCTTGTTTCTTGACGAAAGCTGATGAGTGTCAAGTTTTGGATCGGTTTTAGCATCAGGAATTATCTCAAAACTCAGCTTCGACAAAAGCAAGCAGAAAATTTGCTCTGAGATATAATACAACCAGGTTTTATTTAAGTTCTCTCTTTCCCCCCCCCACACTGGCAAAAGTTCAGAGGGAGTTTAAAGTTTTGTAAACATTTTAACTACCCCTCTTCCCCCTTTTATGAATTTACAAAGCAAAGGAGACAGGGAGACCAGATTTGCAACAGTTCCAAGTCTCTCCATGCTATTGGATCCAAAAACTATATACAAGTCTGCAGCAGTCTCTGTATAGTTACTGTACATGTTTGGGGGCTGGGGGAAGAGAGAGGACGAGGAGGACGAGGGGAAGGTGACCCCAAAAATGAATAAACCAAACAAAATAAAATACAAAGCCAAACTGCTCTTGAGCAACTCGAACTGTTTTCTTTAGGCAGTGATGACAGAAAGACAGACACCTTTATACACCTCCACCAAACTGCAGCGCAACTCCCTTGGCAGGTTATAACCCTCTGGGAATGGGAGATGGGACCAGGGTGTTGAAACTAAGTGCATTTGGCAGTTTCAGTTTTGTTTATTTTGTGGTGTGTGCACGTGGGTGGGTGGAGAAGGGAAGGCCGTGGTAATCTTTCGGTGAGAGAAGAAGGTTACGATTCCATACTTAAACATGGATCCAAGTGAAGGTGCGTGATGTAGCTTAAAGTGTAGATGATATGCAGGGCTGTCATTGCACATAGCTTCACCCTCCACAGTCTCTTTCCATTACAAAAGGGCATCTCTGCTTGTTAACCTAAGCACTGTTTGAAATGACAACTAAGACTGCTGGGGTATGTATCTGAAAGCCAGTGTTCACTCTCACCAAAGACTAGAGATCCAAAGGTAAAGATCCTACTGTCTCTTAAACGAGACAAATTTGCAGGAAAAGAGCTCAAAATAGACTGGTCCTAACCCTCAGAAGGTAGCATTTAAGGGATAAATTCAACCTGAAAGAAGAGATGCCACCCCTCTTTTTCCCCAATAGCAGAAGTCCCCCCTCTTCCAGGAAGGCTGGAGTATGCTGACAGGAAACTCCACCAGCTTCAGCATCACCACCTAATGAAGACAGACTCGAGCTTTCCCTCCAAAATAATGTGCTGAGAAGGGCTGGCAGGGGGTGTGCAACTTCAAACCAACCCAAGCTAAACTGCGCCCGCCACCGCCCCTCTCCTGCTGTTGCCAGTTCTAAGGTTAGCTTATGAATGCAACTCCTGGCTTGGGAGAGCACCACTTGCCCTGATGGAGCGCGGAAGTCAGTATCTGTGTGGCATTTTGGTTTTGACCAACATCTGTTAACCACAAACTCTCTCTCTCTCTCCATGACTGCACGTGTTGGATGTGGTAAGAGTAACCAGGAGAGGGAAGCAATGGTTTGCAGGATCCCAATCGATTTTTTTTCCAGGTATGTCAGCAGAAGAAATCACAGCACAGTGAAAGCTTGCTGCCCAAATCAGCTTTGTTGTGAACAAATCCTGTCTCCCACCCTCCCAGGACTCTGAACAAAGTCCACTCGACTCTAGGATGACAGCAGGAACGACGCCTGTGCAGTCCTGGGCAGAAAGGGTTTGCCGGGGCTAGAGGAAGCAGCCTGAGATGATTGATTCTGTGATTCACTGCAAGGCGAAGAAGAATGCATGGTGGAGAGTACTGTGTCCAAAATGGAGAATCCAGGGTTAACAGATGCAGCAAAAGCCAGCTGATTTGCACATGCTCAGTAGTCTTCCAAAGTCTCTATTTCTCCCATATTGAGCCGCTCTGATGAGGCATTCACTGAAAACCCTGCAAACCAAAGAAGAGCCATGTTATACATCTGGTTGTGGTATATTCTGTATGACGCAATGCATCTGATACACGTAGCAGCTGTTTAAGATGAACTGAATAGACACCAAGTAAAAACCCAAAGGAAAATCCAGTATGGCTAGATCTAACAACCCTAACTGTTGTGTTCCCTCCCTACCTCCTCCTCCCCCATCCCCACAAAAAAAAAAACAAACACAAAGATAATTCATGTGCTTAGGTAAGTATCAATTGGTCTTTAGAAACAGATCAGCAGAAGCCCAATTTCAGCTTTAATTTTCAAGACATTATCTGCAGAGCTAGTACAGTATCGAGGCGCTATGAAGAAGACATGGTTCAGCAACATCCCACAACACAGCGTGTTTGAACCAGCTGGTACTTGGGAGTGCCTATCGCAGTAGTTACAGAGTCCAAGAGGCAGAAATAGGTGTTCTGTGAGTTCAAAGTGTTGATCATGCCTAGCACTTCAGAGGGTGTGAGCAATGCTACTCCTTTAAAGTATAGACACATGTACCTAAGAAGCCTCGTGGAGGTTCCATGCATTTCCAGGCCTTTTCTTTTTTTTTTCCTTTAACCTCCTAGCTCAGGAGGACATGAAAATGTACAAAGCTACACAGGGCTACCCAGTTGGCTCAATATACATCTAAACTTTTAACCACACTCTTAACTGTAAGTACCAAGGATGCAGTGACACAAGAGTGAGAAAGCCAACATATTTTCTACAAGGAAAGACTCTAATGTTATATCATAAGGAACTTTTATCAAGATTCAGTTTTTATTGTAGCAACCCCATATGAAGTATAAGAAAGATGAAAACTTTGTGTTGAGCTCTTAAGCACAAGGCTGGCATTTTTTTTTATTTTTTTTGTCTTGAGACTGCTATACAGGCTTGCTCTGTGGCAAAAAACAAACCACTTTTCACAGCCATCATCTTCAAAGTGCTCTGCTCAGGATGTTTAAAAAACTGCTCTGGCTCCCTCTCCTGGCAGTATGTTACCTAGAGATCTTTGTAATTTTGTAAGAGCATACTAATTTCTAATAAGCTGCCATGTTAGCTCTCTTATAGCTGAAACTTCATAATTGCATTTAGTGATTTCTAATATCAATTGACCAAGTGCTTTTTTTTTTTTAATATCTAACTGATCACCTACATCAGATTCACTAGATTGGCATCTAGGGGTGGAATACATCAGGATTCTACTGAAGAGTTCATTACACTTCAAAGCAGAGATCAGTTTAATTGAAAAGCACTGATTGTGCTGATAACAAAAAGGGAAGATGTAAAACAAAGGCAGGGTCCTGTGCACCTTAAAAGGCAGCAACTTGCAGGTGTATAAAGCAGCTTATTATGAACCGAGTAAGAGTTCAGCAGTGCCAGCACACCAAATACCTGCTCAGTGTGGTGCCCTAGTTTCCGTTTCATCACACGAAACTAATAGGGACACATTCGTTCTACAAGAACACTTCAGCAACATATTATATATCTATGTGAGAGCAGTAAGCATTGAAGTAAGTGATGCCCCTGTTTTCTTAAAGGCCACTTAACAGAAACCTTTCCATCAACGCTGTAAGTGCAGGCCAACAACCGTCCTCACAAAAATTAAGAGAACAAAAAAGACTACGAACTGATGTCAGCATCTTCACTGCCTTCAATTCCAAACTCTTCAAAACAGATATACCTAAAGGCCTTGTTTGTTCTGCTGCACTCTTAAAGATCCAGACTATCTATGAGAATAGCCACATGTCCATGACAGGCAGCTTCCTTGTCTCAGAGACCAAAAACTTACAATACATGAAAATACGGATTTTGAAGTCTTCAGGGTTATTTTCATCTCTCAAAAAATAATGTTAATGACTATATTGTTTAAAAAGGAAAATAAACAACTAAATTACATCTCTTCCCATTACTTTAGAAGACTTTTCTCAGGCAATTAAACCCACTCCTAATTTACCCCCAAAACACACTGTCACTAACAGACACTGGAAGTCTGTCCTTGACATCAAGGGCAGGCAACAAGTTCTCTGGAAGACCCCTTTTCCTGATCTGCTGATTGCATTTGGACAAAGAATCAACGCACAAGAGACTCGTCTGCTCAAGAAGTGTCATTAGTCATCTACATCACTATCTTGTCTTCTACTTACCACAAATTTGAGGCCTGAACTGTTCCAGCAGCAGAAGTATTCAATAAAAGCTTTTACATGAAACTGATGCATTATTTTAAAAATTGTAATACTGAAACAAGTTCTAAGGACACTTCAACAACTACCTTTTCTGCTTGAACTCAACACTCCCATTTAGGTTAACATGATTTTTACACTCAAGGCTTTTCCCCCCCAAAAACAATTAGTTTCTAAAAATTTAAACTGACCTAACAAGCTAGGATCTGCGCGGACCATTTTCTGTTTCTTCTTCTTCTTCCCACTCTGCACAGCCTCAAAATTGGATTGCTGGTTGTTACTCTGATTGGTCTGAAAGACTGAATGTAGCGAACTATGATTCATCCCCCAAACTGAATCCTAGAAAACAAAGCAAATACATTATAAAATGGAATTAAGCTGTGTTTATTTATACTGAAAACACACAGAGAACCCAAATCACTTTCTATATCACACGTGGTAGCACTAAGACACTGATGCATCCATCCAGTATATCTACCTTACCTTCCTGAAGTATATCCTGGATCAGCATGCTACAGGACTATTTGATCCATAGGGGGCTTCAGCTGTTAACTATAAAGAATACTTGAGTCTGCAGTGTATGTTTGAAATCTGCTTTATTCTCTGCATTTCACATGGCCTGTAAAATCCTGCTCACCTTCGTACCAATCAATCAGAAATGCCAACTCCTCAGACTTGAATACAGCATTTATACATTCTTAAGGACTGTAGTAAGTAAAGTTTACCTGTTGCTGCTGCTGTTGCCGCTGTTGACTGGCTTTCTGTTTGGCACGACGCTCAAGAAACTGCTTGGCAAACTCCTTGGCCTCAGGAGTGTCCCCAAGATATGCTCTGATGTAATCATGGACCTCATAGGGAGATTCTACTTCCTTCAGAAAAGAAACAAACGTGGGAACTGCAAGA